GATGACAGTTACGTGGATGGTGATCCTGACCCGCCTGATCCCTCTAACTGTTGACACTTTTGACACGCCAACAAGATGTCAAAACCCAAAAACGATGACAGTTACTTGGATGGTGACCCCGACCCGCCTGATCCTGGCGACTGTTGACACTTTTGACATGCCAACAAGATGTCACAACCCAAAAACGATGACAGTTACGAAGATGGCGACCCCGACCCGCCTGATCCATGTGACTGTTGACACTTTTGACACGCCAACAAGATGTCAAAACCCAAAAACGATGACAGTTACGTGGATGGTGACCCCGACCCGCCTGATTCTGGCGACTGTTGACACTTTGGACACGCTCACTTACCAGCGCTCGCAATCTTATTATTTACCGTATTTGATTCTTCCAAGAGGCGCAGGAGTAGCTGATGCTGAAATATTCGTAGCCGCCATTCACATAACTTCCCAGCACTTCCAACTGCTGCGCCGAACTTGTAACCTTTTCCAGATCTCGAAATGCCATTATTTACAGTGTCGGTTGCCTTTCAAGAAGTGCAAGTGTCAAGAACTCCGAACATACAAAAGCATGTAGGTGCTTGCGAATCTGGGTTTTAAAAAGAGGGGTTGGAGAGAAGCACTGCCCTTACTTTCTCACTTGATAAACGTGGGCAACGGTAAGAACACGTAGAACGGGCTACGAAAAATCAACATAAGCTGGGATCAAATTTTCCAGGCCGTTGCGTGCTGCACCAACAACGAAATAGCGGGGGGGGGGTTGGGGGTGGCGCAGCTCCCCTCATTTGCAACGCATCAGAACACGTCGCTTCTGGCACTCTTTGACAGGATGTGTTTGCATTGCGCTTGCCTTACAAAACTAGGTTCCCCAGTAACCCATTAATAATAAGGGTACCCCTTTCCTACTGTGCAGCTTTAATGAGGAGACCTCAAAATAAAAAGGGCAAAAGGGCACTACTGGGGTACCTTGGAAATATGATGGGGCTTGCGGATGAAGATCAGAACACACTGGCTTCTTGCAACCGTTGATAGGTTGCTTTGTGCATCGCACTTGCATTACTAAATAGCGGGGGGGTTGGGGGGGGGCAGTCCCCCCCATCTGCAAACCATCGACGACAATCAGAACACACTGGCTTCTTGCTGCCGTTGATATTTTTTTTTGCATCGTAGATGCATCACGCAATGGCGGGGGGATCTGCAAAACATCGACTCCTTTGCAACCGTTGATAGGTTGGTTTTTGAATTATTGCATTACGAACCCGCGCGGGGTGTTGGGTGCCATTTGCAAAACATGGTCGAACATCAGAACGCCGAAGCTTCTTGCAGCCACTTGTTTTTTGCAATTACGAAGTAGCGCGGGGTTGGAGGGTTTAGGGCTTCGGATTAAGGGTTGTGGGACGAAGGTTTGAGGTATGATTTGAGCTGGTTTTGTGCATTGGTCCTTTGAGAGAGCACGGTGTAAGTGGCACGCATGCCACAACAATGGCACCCCTAGGTTGACACACCATGCGCCATCCCTGACAAATGTTTTGTCAGCTGGTTTCAGTCAACATTTTGGGGGTTGCGAGACTACGCCGGACTAGATTCCAAGATGTATGGCTGAGTCGCCTGGGAGCGGTGTGCTTTAGTAAACAAGAACTCGGACGAAAATCAGAACACGCAGCCTCTTGCAACCCTTTGACCGATCTGTTGTGCAATGTGTCCGCATTACGAGATAGCTGTAGTTTCCAGTATGCCAATGTTCCAAAAGGCGCAAATTTTGGAACTTAAAACATTCCTCACTTTCCAAAAGCTCCCAACATGCGTAGCCTTTGAAGAACCGCGAACACTGTATTTGCAGTTTCCTGGCTTCTCAAAAGCCGTAGCATTTCAAAAGCCACAAATA